GGGTTCGAGCTCGGGAACAAGGTTGTGCAGGTGAGAACATCGATCATCAATGGAGATGTCCCGCTTCTCCTTTCGAAGGGTGTGCTGAGTAGACTTGGCATGATCTACGATGTCGAGCTCGGCCGTGCTGACTTCACAAAGGTAGGACTGCGTGGTTTTGAGTTGCAGGTGACGACTTCAGGTCACCCCGCTATTCCCATTGTACCTGCCAAGGTTGCAGAGGATGTCTCAAATGGCCTTCAGGCTGAAGATTTGCGACTTTCGCCGCGAGAGCAATACACTGTGTATGCCGTAGCACATGGTAGCTTCAAGACTCCCTCTACTTTCAACTTCTTCTTTGACAAGAAGCTAGACCCAGGGGCTCGAGACATGCTATGTCGAGAACACCTTCATCAAGAAGCATTCTTAGCATGGTGGAAGAGTACTGGAACTACGTCCGATTTCTGGTTAGAGTCCCCCGAGGCCTGGATAAGAGTCCACATGACCCCCAGAAAGATCCTCTTCAATCCTTCCGTTTGGCAGACCCGGGCTACCCTCCAGAAAGAGATGCTGCTTCAGACTGCAGGCGAGGTTAGGATCACTGAGGGCGTTTGCTGTGCAACAGGTAGATGGCTTGAGCCGATCGTTGACCATTGGAAGAGCGGAAACACCAGTGAACATGCTTTCGATTTTCTTTGGGCTGGAAGAACTTGGATTAGTAAGCGCTATAGCCCTCGCGACCTCCTTTGCACCCCCGACCATGGAACAAGGACCATGTCAGCCACGACCTCGGACGATCAGCCAGATGTCCAAGGCGGAGCTCCTCAGCGAGGCTACGCGACTTGGACTCGCGGTCCACCGGACCTGGGCGGTAGAGGAGCTCAAGGCAGTGATCATGGAACACAGGGAGAGCCTGAAAGAGAAGGACCCCGTGGAACAGATGCGGAGAGTGACACACATGACTTTGTGACAGTTGGAGGCGAAGGCGACCGACTTGGGCATCGACTTTCCAACGGGGACGACAAAAGGCAACCTCATGCGCCTGATCCGCGACAGTATCAACACTCCCGATCAAGAACTGATGAAGATAGGAAAATTTCGAGGATTTCAGTTTGTGGAAATCCCCGAGAGCTACTGCGAGTGGGCGGTGCGAGAGCTGACTGTCTCGAGGAACCCGGACCCAGAGTTGGTCCGCCTGCGCAACTGGTACCAGCTTCGCAAGCAGAGGCTTTGAGGAGCACGAGCCCCATTTCGAGCGCTACGGCAAGATCGTCGGACTGGGGAGTGGTGAGCGACAGGAGCTCAAGGACGAGGCGCCGGGGACATCAGGACACGATCGAGGAAAAGGAGATGGAGGCGGATGTCGACCCGAAGACCGCAGCGGAGATCGCGGAGCTGGAGATGCGCCTGGCAGTCCTGAAAGAGCGAGTCCGAGGTGGACGGCTTGGGGGGCGACACCTCGAAAGGCGACTCCTATGACGCCCCCCGATTTTGTGATCCCAATTTGGGTGATACCAGCAGCCGAGGTGGAAGCCACGACCGTAAGTGTTGCGGAACTGCCGAGGCGGTCCTGACGATCTCCGAACGGGAGTTTGTCCAATCCTTTTCCTGCAAGCACGAGGTCTTTGCCGTCGAGCAGGGCTTCGACTCAACCAGCGATGGCGTCCACTTCTACGACATCGAGGACGAGACCTCCGAGCACCACGACGAGCCCGACCACCTGGACGGGCACCTCCTGTACGAGTGCCGCGACGTCACTCTTGATGATGAGGTCACCTTCTTCTATGACAGCGGCGACTTCTCCTTTGCGACCCTCCTCGACCTCTTGGAAAAGCACCAGGCGAAGCTGCAGAAGTACGGCACCAAGAGGACGAATGTCATAGACCCCGGCACCGAGGTCTACTGCCCCTTTGGCGCGT